TTATGAATGTCACTTCTATTTTAGGTATATTAGCGCGTTTAATACCTGCTGACCAGAACGATTTAAAGAAAAATAACTACAGCCTAATAAAAGTAGTAGTATGTAACCTATATCCATTTGAAAAAGTTGTAGCCAAGCCTGATACAAATGTTGAAGATGCTGTTGAAAATATTGATATTGGTGGTGTAACACTATTGAGAGCTGCTGCCAAAAATCATGAGCGTGTCACAGTACTTTGTGATCCGGCAGACTATTTGGAAATATCCAAAGAGATATCATTGAACAATGACACGCTTCTAGATACCCGGAAAAAACTAGCATTGAAGGCATTTACACATACAGCAACTTATGATGATTGTATATCAGATTATTTTCGCAAGAAATTTTCTGGCGGTGAGAGTCAAATGAATTTGAGGTATGGCATGAATCCTCACCAATGCCCAGCACAACTTTTCACTACAGATTCAAAGCTACCATTAAAAGGTAATGTAGCTCATGTAAAATATTAAATTAGTATAAATTTAAATTTGGTAATTAATGAGATTCTAAATATTATATTTAGTTAGTATATTATCAACGTCAATAAAATATATAAAACACATTATTCATATTTCTTAATCACTAAAATTAAGTAATTTTTATTTTATTTTAAATTATATTTAAAACACATTATTATATTAATGATAATCTTAAGAGGGCACGACACTCGTATTTGTTGTCTCAACCTTACAAACGCATAACATAGCAAATTTACGCTCAGCAGTTTATGTTTTAATCCGTTAGCTTAAAAATTAAAGTGAATAGACCTATTATGAAACTTGATGGTAAGAACATTATTTGTGTTTTGTTGGAAATATTTTTACAATGATTCAGTTTTTTAAGTAAGTTATGAGCATTTTTATTTTACAATTAATTTTATGTGCATAACTCACTTAAAAACTGTATTATCGTAAAAATACTTCCAAAAAACACAGATTATGTTCTTACCATCAAGTTTCATAATAGGTCTATTCACTTTAATTTTTAAGCTAATGGAGTAAAACGTGAAATGCTGAGCGTAAATTTGTTATGTTATGCGTTTTAAAGACTGAGATAACAAATAGCTAGGGGTGTTGCACCCTCTTAATAAAAAGCATACGGTTTAGAATCAGTACTTCTCTAATTACTTGTTAGATATTTTAAACATAAAACCTATGTAAAGTTTTTAATTATATTGTTTGATATTGTAGTATTTAACCATTTAGAAATGTAATTGATATATTGTTGTTAAATGTTTAGTAATCAATGGTTCGCCGGGGTACATCAATTTATGTGATGCCTTTAATAGCTGGCAATTGGTTAAAGAACTTAAAGAAGTAACTGGTCTTCCAGCTGCTACATCTTTTAAGCACGTCAGTCCTGCTGGAGTTGGTTTAGGCATACCATTAAATCAAATTGAAGTAAAATAGTTTTTTGACTTAAATTTAATTTTTTTCTGATTGATTAAAACTTTTTTCTAAGGCTTCATTATGTATGGTGAGTGATTTACTTGAAATTATGACTCCACTTGGATCTGCTTATGCTCGTGCCAGAGGAGCTGATCGCATGTCTTCATATGGAGATTTTATTGCTTTATCACATTCCTGTGATTTAGTTACAGCTAAAATTATTTCCAGAGAAGTAATTTACCTTGTACAATAAACTCTTATATTTATTATTGAATTTTGATGGTTTTTTTTTTAGGTTTCTGATGGTGTTATTGCACCTGGATATAGCGATGAAGCTTTAAATTTGCTCAAAAAAAAAAAGAATGGAAATTATTGTGTGTTACAAATTGATTCTAATTATACACCCAAGCCTGTAGAGCGTAAAGTTCTGTTTGGAATGACGTTAGAACAGAAACGTAATGATGGAAAAATTGATGAAAATCTTTTTACTAATATTGTAACTAAAAGACAAGATGTAAGCTAATCATTATTTTACTAAAATGTAATATTGAATAGAATAATTTATTAATTACATATTTGTTTTGGTATAGATAACAGATGCAGCTAAACKTGATTTAATTCTTGCTACTGTAACATTAAAATACACACAAAGTAATTCAGTGTGTTACGCTTTCAATGGTCAAGCTATAGGAATTGGAGCTGGACAACAATCAAGAATACACTGCACTAGACTAGCTGGTGATAAAGCTGATAATTGGTAACCGAAATTGCATTGCAGTTCATTTGAATTGAATAATGTTTTTGGTTTTTCTGTTTTTGTAGGTGGTTAAGGCAACATCCATATGTTTTAAATATGAAATTCAAAAAGTCAGTCAAAAGAGCTCAGATAGCAAATGCCATTGATGATTACATTGGTAAAACTATTGGAAATGGCCTTTCACGCAGTAGATGGGAAAGTTTGTTTGATGTAATTCCTACTGAGCTAACCCCTGAAGATAGACATGCCTGGTCTGCTAAGTTGAAAGGAGTTGTATTGTCATCAGATGCGTTTTTCCCATTCAGTGATAACATTGAAAGAGCTGTCCAGGTATATTTAATAAATAGTTGTAAATGTTCTTGTTTAACTAAATTGATATTGTTATTTTATACATTTTATTTAGAGTGGAGTTGAATACATAGCTTGTCCATCTGGTTCAACAAATGATGAAGAAGTAATCAATTACTGCAATGAACAAAACGTCGTGTTGGCTCATACTAATTTGCGTTTGTTCCACCATTAATTTAGTAACCCTGATTCTCTTATATATTATACATTAAACAATTTATTTTTGTTACATTGCTCAATTTATTATAAAATGTAAGCCAAAAAATTGAATATCAGTTAAGTTTATATTGTAAATGTTTTCTAAACTATTTACATTTGTAATAAACAATCAACAATTCATCAAACTGAACAAACATTTTAGTTAAAGCCCTAAAAAATTCTAATTTTATGTGGTTATTTGCTATTTATTCCGTGCACTAGTAGGAAGAGGGAATAATTACTAATATTTATGTTCCATGAAATAGATATGAATCTGGTATATTTTATTTGAATGTAGGGAAAAAAAGCCAAGAAAAAAATCCACGAAAAAAAACCAAATTACAATAATTAAATATATAAAAATTAAAATTAAAGTATTAAATAAGGTATTGTTTAAAAATTTTTTACACATTATTGGTCATAATGTATTCATATTATATATAATTTTTAATACACAGATTAAATGTTATTATTTATTATTCATAGTGATAAATATATTTTAGATTCTAAACAGCAATGACGGATGTATTGATTTTATTAAACAAAAAGTTTAAATTAAAAATATATATTTATTTATTTATTTATTTCAAGATAGCATGTATTTCATACTGCAACATGTACATTTAAAAAAAAAATCACCCTGTACAAAGTATATACATATCTAGGGTGTAAGACATAAATCAATTGATTTCAACATAATATCCACAAAATATTACATTATTTTTATTCAATATTTATTATAATATTTACAATTTTATTTTTATATATGATACGGACAATACAGTATGATTAACTGTGTTAAAAATTTTAAATTAATTAACATATAACTTGTGTATTGATAATTATATATAACTTCCCTTTTCATCATAAGTTAAAATTGCAGACCTCCAATAATAAAAGACCTACTTAACAATTATTTTTTATTTTAACACCATTGTCATTATATTTTTGCAATAATATAGATAACTTCCTATAGTACCTAATTTATGGGATTATCAATTGAGGTTCAAAGGAAAGAGTTGTAGACAGAGATTAAACATTCTACAGGTATGAAAAATAAATAAAGAAACATGTCACTCACACTAAACTAAGTCAATACTTAATTACTATACTGCAAGTGATAAAGTCAAGAAGACATGATTTAGATGTGTAAGAGTAGGTATTGCAGATAAATTATAGGTAATACAACTATAAAATATATTGACTAAATTAGTTTTGTCAGGACTTACAAACGTTTAATCAATGCCAGATCTTTATTACCATTTAAAATATATAAATTACTGTTAAGAATTTTTATTTTATTAGAATCCAGAATCTTATAATATCTTAAATTGTTATGCATAACAATCTATTTGTCTTACATGTGATACATAAATACTAAACAATTTAATAAATCATATGGAGCATATACTCATGACAATATTTATAAAGAAATGCATGTACGAGAAAAAAAATCTATTTAAAAACTATACGACAAATAACAGAGGGCAATGATCACATTATTTTATAATCTGTTTTAATATATTTTGTATTTTTCTTTTAAAATTCTACATAGTTACTCATGACTCCACACAGCAATCATACTGCTTATTCATATAAAATAATTATAAATATATCTGATACGTAAAAAGATTATTAGCAGACACCAGGTCTATTTCATATTAAATACTGGAAGTATTTTTAATGGATAAAAATTAAATGGAACAAGTATGTATAAATGTATAATTTGTACTTGGTACTGTTACTTGTTAAATGACGCGTTATTTGAGAACTAAAAGAGTAAGCATTATTGATTTTCTATCGCAGCGAGAAGCAATTTTTGAGATATATTTCAAAAAAATATTGCAATATTGAGGATATTCAAAACAGGTAAATCCCTGAATATCATGATCATGAATATTATTCAACACTTCCAAAGAATATTCTGTGATTGTTCATGAATGTGCAAGTTACTATAAAAATATAAAAATAGTGAAGTTTCAAGTTCAAAGGTTAATTTTCTATGAATATCGAATATCGATTGATGTTTTTGGCATTTTTGCTAAAATTGTCTACACAATATTATGTCAAACGGGACACGGCTCGCACTGCTCGCATTGTGCAGAACTGCAGAGGCAGACTGCAGACTGCAGATAGCAGATATTATTATATCAAGATAAATTCTCCATATTTGTGTGCTATCGCTATAACATTTCCCTCCATTTTTAATCAAATCATTGATAATAGCAAATAACATAATATTATAATGTTAATAAATTGTTATATTTTGTTCAAAACATTTGCACGTCACAACTTAAGTGTCAAAACATTGTTTACAATTGTCAATTAATGTGTACTCATTTAATTACAGTTGTTCATCTATAAAATCATTGCAATAGATATTACTATTCTTCGATTGATATTTCATTAATTCATAACCGATTCAGTTGTATGATTTACCATGATGTCGAGATCAAAAAATTCTTCCATAATAGATACGTTAAATTTTGAGTTTCCATTTAGGCAGGTACAAATAAATACGTTGACCAACTTATTTTTAAACGTAAGTACAGTTTGTTTTTGTTATTACACATTTTAAAATAAAGTAACATCTAGAGGCAATGCAAAGGTATTTTTAATACTCGAAGTTCATAAGTCTCTATTATAGGACTGTAGTTAACTCGCGAAAGTATCATTTTTTGTTTGCTATGCAGCTGCAGTTTTTAACTAGGTATTATATGGTCTTTTATTCTACAGGAAGTTTTACCACCAAGTGTTTTTATCCATGGTCTGCCATCTACTGGTAAGACAAGTTTAGTGACTCGATTGCTGAATTTACTTGGAAAGTCAGTAAAATCATCTATTGTGAATTCTATATGCTGTTACACAAGTCGATTATTATTTGAACCTATTTTAAAAGATTTATTAGGTAAGTAAGTAGTATGCATTCCCTTCTTTTTTTTCCGTTCAAATAACCAGGAACGGGTGGGAAATGTTTAGCACAATACTGCCACCAGGTCCCGTATCGTTTATTCGCTGTCAATTATTGTAGTTATTTTACTAGTGTATGCATTACCTACGTGTAAGCATAGCAAATTTTTCATTTAATCATTTTTTCTCTTTAGGAATTAAGCAAAGCGACATACCTAATCGGTGTGATCATTTTATGCAATTTTTAAACATATTAAAACAAGCAGAAATTCAACAAGTACAAGTAATTATAGTGTTGGATAACTGTGAGATGTTAAGACATGAACAAATAGTTTTGTTTTCAAAATTACAAGAACTTATAAAAAGTTATCAACTTTGTGTTATATTTATTAGCCAAGTACTCCCTGCTAAATTTGATGAAGACATCAATTGTATTCCAATAGTGTTTGAACAGTATAATAGTGGTAATATTTTAAATAGATATTATTAATTCAAATAATTTATTGATAATATTATTTTTTGTAGATGATATATTGGATATTTTATTAAGAGATAGACCAAACAATTGGAGTGAGTCTATTTACCAAAATTTTTTAAATGTTTTTATCAGATCATTTTATGGAAGTTGTCGAGATTTAGTCGAATTAAGACATTTGGTAATTTTATAAGATAATCAATAAATAATAATACTGTTTGTGAAACTAAATGTTTTTTATTTTTATTAATTTCATATCTTCATTTGCAGGCAAAGCTTCTATTCATCAAGTATGTAGAGCCAATAGAAGATGGATCATGTACAGATATTAACCAAGCTTTACTATACAGAAAAATAAGTCCTAGTATTCACTTATTGTTAAATAATGTTTATCTAGGAACAAGGTACCTATACAAAAATGCTATACTTAAAATATATTTATATGTAATTTCAAACCATAATATGTTTTATTATATGGATGTTTTAATAAATATATTTTAGTTAAGCATCTATTAAAAGTAATTAGGTATAAGGAATGTTTGATAAATTTTTGAAAAGTTGAATATACTAAATGTACCTAATTCAATATTAAAAATTATATTATTGATCTTTTTTTGAAATGCAGTAAATCATATATTGAAAAAAATCCGTTAAAGCTAAACAATACAAATTTAACACAGTATAGCATTGATAAAAAATTAAAAACCAAAACTCATAAAATTAAAAGTTAAAATAATCTTACTATGCTATAACAATAACTAAATTAAAATTATATTTTCTATTTTATAACTTTTAGTTAATAACAGAGGTTTTTATTTTAAAAGGATGCCAATGCCATTTGTTTTCTCTCAAACGTGCACAAGGTAAATAAAGATAGCAAATTTATGTTGAGCAGAACCAATCTTACATTGTTCCTTTCAATATCAGAGCGAATTCACCCATTACCAAACTTAAAGTTAAGAATATTACCTATTCACAACATTGGATTTTTAAAATATTTTCTATACATTTTTTAATCATTTTAAATTTGTAATTATACTCTCATAATTTGTACACAAATAAAAATATCATTAAATAGCCAACGTAGCAACAGGTAATGTTCTTAACTGATAGTTTGATAATAAGTGGGTTCACCCTAATACTAAAAGTAGTAGTATAGAGCTGGTTTTGCACTTCTGTTGCATATACATTTTATATGTTGTGTGTGGGTCACAGAGAGAAAACAAATAAGGCTCCAACATCCCTTAACATCMTTATTTGTAATTATTAGTTAAATTTCTAATTGATGAATAAATAAACTTAAATTGTTTAATTAATAATAGTAATAATTATGATTTCAGTTTGGAAAATGTCAATAGTTTGTCTGATGAAAAAACAAAATTTGAAAAACTTGCTCTAGATTTACCATACTATGCCAAATATTTTTTAATCGCTGCTTATATTGCATCATTTAATTTACCAAAATATGATAGGAAATTGTTTGTTAAAGCATCAAACAAAAAAAGGAAAACTAATCGGTTGACAAATAAAACAGAAAATTCCGCCACTCAATTGGTTGGACCTAAAACTTTCTCTTTAGATCGTTTACTAGCAATATTTTATGCTATTATTGAAGAAAATACGAACATGAATGCCAACCTTTTAGCACAAGTAATCATACAAAGAACCATTATTCAAAATTTCAATTGATAATAATTTAACATAACATAAATATGTTGATTAGTTATTTATTTTAAATATTTATTATAATGTTTTATTTTTTTATTATAGATTAATACGTTATCTGATTTGGGACTTTTAATACGATTAGGCGATGGTAAATTGGAAACTCCTAAATACAGATGTAGCGTTAGTTTTGACTGTGTCAGTAACATTGCGCGGTATGTAAATGATTTATTTATTTTTGTTGATAATATATTTTTCCTAATAAAATTTCAATATTACATTACATAAATTATTTATTTTATTAATAATGCTAATCACTTAATTTATTGATTATTTTTTTAATTATTACTTATAATATAAGATATTTCTAATTTCAGTCAATAGTATTATAATCATTAAAAAATGAGTGAATAGTTAAGTGGCAGTTACTAAAAACTTTTTCTTTTTTATTATAATTGGTAAATATTAAATAAAATTATTATTATTAACCTCATTATATCAATTAAAAATATTTTTAACTTTTATTAAGTTACATTTTTGTATCCAATTTTTGTAATTAAAAAAAAAAACAAAAAAGTCACTTTGAGATAGGTCTTAAAGGTACTTCATCTTTTAGTATGTAACTAAATGTTTAAAATTTGATTTTATTGATGAGTTATTACATAAGAGGAATGATTCTGAGCATTGGCATAATATCTCTGTCTCTATTTCTAAATATATCTTATAATTTATATATACATTTTATAAAATTTTGTCCTAGTATTGAAACTTAGGATTTTGGATTTTGGAATTTTGAATTACATTTTTATATTGAAAATAATTCACGGACTTAAGTATTTTTTATATTTTTTAGTTGCTCTAAATATATTGTATGAGGAATACTGAGTTCCAAATAAACATAAATTAAAAAAACAGTAGAAATTAAAACATTCATTGCTTCGTTCAAATTCTAAAACATATGTTATAAGATTATTAAATATTATTGTGTATGTAAATGAACAATAATTTACTGTTTTCAACTAATTTTTTATTTTTTACATGTAATAATATTATCATATTATAGAAGGTATATTGTATTATAAATCTAATATATATATATATGTATATTTCTTTTACAGGACTGTGAAGTTTAATTTAAATAAATATCTCATAGATAAGTAATAACTTATATTATTTTAATCTATTTAATTTTTGTATGATATTGTTAATTATTAGTTCTTATGTATTTTTTTATTTTTTTTTTTTTTTTTTTTGATCTTAATAATTTCCTTAATAATATTAATAAATTAAATTAATTACTATGCTTAAAAGGTATTACTAAAATCATCAGTATGGCTTTAAAATATTTAAKCCTAYGAGATTTTTTATCCTTAAATTTTGCTTCATCTTTTTTTTTACACTTTGTTGTTTGCTTAGAAAATATACCTACCTAGTGCTGAATGATTTTGCTGTAATATTCAATAGACTAATTTGTATAATTATTATTAATTTGAATAAGTAATAAATTATGGTTTGATATAATGGTAGTTTAATCTAATACTATACTCCTACTACTATACTCCTACCTACTATACTACTGTACTTTTAATCAAATCCAGTGTTATATTATGTCAAATAGCATTTAGTGATTTAATTATGAGTTAAATTACAAAATTCCGAAATACTGAATGATTGATACCCGTGTCCGGCTCCCGTAATGAAACCGGATTCAAATTTGATATGGCTGTAAAATTTTCACTATTTAATAGGAAGTTTATTTAAAATAAAAACAAGAGATTTAGTCATAATATCGTCTCATCCCTTCGAATTTCGAAATATCTAGTATTTACTACCAATTAGTGGCAACTGGCAAGTAGTATATTAATATGATTGTTGTCGTACGAATGAGATAAGGGATAATGCGCAGATATGCGATTCGGCGACGATAACCGGCTTGATGTTGTGAACGGTTACACGTGAATACGTGATTAAATTCGTGTGCTCTGCAGGCTGCAGCCTGTGCATACAACTACAACCTTACTGCCTGACAACAATTTGGGTAGAATAAAGAGAATAAAAAAAAACAAAAAAAATAAGTGAATAAAGTGATTAATAACGGGTTAGGAGACGACGTAGGACGACAGTAACAGACGGACGGAAATTGGGTTTGTGAATAGCCCGGTAAGTCGTAAATTCCGTAGTTCCGTCGTTGGCCCGGCGGACGACAAGACGTGATCTCACGCAGTGTGTCTCAGACATATGCGGACGACAGACAAACGCTTTTGGTGAGTAGCAACGATTTCCGTTAGGCAACAACGAAAAGGCGGCGACTCGAATATTAGTCGAATCGCGCGACATTGGTTTACAAAATGGCGGTGCGTTAGGCGTACAGCGCGCACCAAGGGTACCGTAAAATGCGCGACCGCCGCTGTCGAGCTTTTCCGTTTTCGGGCTAATCGGCGCCCGGCGGCCAGCGGTCTCGGATATCGACGGTTTGCGTTTATTGTTTTTCCGTCCCGCTTTCCCGCCGCCGCCGGCGCCGGACGAATGATTAAATATTAATAAATTGCGGTTGAAGGTTTCTGCGTAGTGTTTGATCGCCGTTTACCAGCTAGTCCGTACTCCGTAGTCGTCACCGAATACCGATGACGATAGGCATTCATTTCGTTTTCGACAACTCGACATTGACGATACGACACGGTTTTAAAATAAGTAAATAGGTACCTACCAATGATTATTACGAGGACGTGTTCGATCCGAATATTTGACCCTACACGGCCGAATGCCAAAAATGATTACGACGATGAATATCGAATCAGAAGTCCTGTAAGTACGGTCTTTGAGCGCGGCTCCGGCTCACCTCTGTAATGCCTAATGCGATTAGACTGATGGTCAAATTGTTGATTCACATTCGTAAATTTTTCGTCTACGATGATTGTCGTCTCTGTCATTGCAAATTATGTCGCGAGATGGTAGTTTATTTCAATGATTTCCCTTTTTTTTTGTCTCTGATGTGTCACAATTTTCCATGAGTCTTGGTTTATGCCCATCTAAATATGCCAACATAACTTCTCATTATACTGTAGAGGTTACGAGTCGGTAGTTAATACTAAAATATTAACACAAAACCAGCAATATTGTCTGAATCTAATCGCCGTGTATTAGGTGTATTAATTATTTTTGCTGTAATTTATTTCAGGCATTTTTAAACAATCAAAATACAATTATCTTCAAGTAAGATGTCTTCTGCTTTAGAAGAAAGGGAAGAACAAAGCTTAAAATGTTTTATATGCAATATAAAAGTAACTACTTGTTCGTCGTACAAAGTGTACTGTACATTTATGCCTCAAAGAAACACATTGTTAATAGATATCATGTCAAAAATACTTAAAAAAGATTTGCAACCCTCTCAAATGAAAAATTCAGTATTGTGTCGAAGGCAAGTATTGTTACATTTTTTACTGTTAAACCTACCTTTGCCTATTAAATAAATTACATTAAAATGGTTAGATCACTGTAATATTATATATATATATCCTGTTTTTTAGGTGTTTTACACTTTTTGATGAGTTGGATCAGATATCTACACGTTTCACAAAGCTTCAATCTGACATTATTAAACGTTATACTTCTACATGCAGCGAATATAAAAATAATACTGATTTTAACGTTGATCATGCAAAAATTGTAGATCTCTCACAGGGTGAACAAAAAAAAAATGATAAATCTTTAAATGCTGAAAATGAAAATAGTGAAAAATCATCAATTGCTCTAAATGAGGTAAATTATTTAGATCAAATTTTAGATTTCAAGTGGAAGAAGAGTACCATTTAATTTATAATAATTTTGTTTTTGAGTAGTAGAAAAGTTAAGATTGGATTCTGTACCTAGATTATATTTTACAATGTTTTATAAAAAAAATTGAGCAAGTAGTAGGTAATATATTTATATATATATATATAAGAAAAGAAAAAAGACCAATGTAAAAACTAGGAACATACAATAGATAATTTATTCTAGTGGTAAATTATAGGAAATAATAACTATTACAATGATATTAATATTTCATTTGAAAATTTTATTTTAATAAAAGTATGGTGATAGTTAACTATGGAAAATTATAACTGTTGGTTTGTAATTGTTATAAATTTGCTGTCAGGATTAGTATACTTCTTGATAAATTGTATCATCTGCAAATTATGTATTAATATTTGAAGTATATTTATTATTTACTTATACTTTGCTGATTGTAAAACTATAAGTATAAATGATGGTTGTTCATATTTTCTTTATTTCATAGATTAGTACTTGGTAATAGATAGTTACCCTATTGATATTGTTTTAAATATAATTTAATTATTAAATTTTTATAAAAAAATTGAAAATTTTGAATAAATTGATT